TCTTATGCCAATACCAAGCTGTTTTGATTACTATGGCTTTATAGTAGAGTTTGAAATTTGGTATTGATATTCCTCCAGCAGTGTTCTTTCCGTTGAGGAGCGTTTTTGCTATTCAGGGTCTTTTATTGTTCCATATGATTTTTTGGATTGCCTCTTCTATTTCCTTGAAGAATGAGTTTGGAATTTTGATACATAATACATACTTTTAATACATATTTTGTGATATGTATTTTTAGAATATGTGTCTTTTAAGTTCTGTATTTGATAACCTTGTAACTACTACTATTTAGTTGTTTTTGTTCTATTGATCAAGAAAACAGGTAAAAATAGCTGGTCAATAAAGAGTTCAAGATCAACCTGGGATATTTAGCAAGATCCTATATTAAAAAAAGAGAGATTTTTACTTCTTTTGAATTAAATTTTGATAAAGTTTGGATTTGTTAGTTCATTATCCACTGAATTCAATATTTTCAAACCTATTGAATAGAATCAAGTAAATTTTTAATTTTTTTCTGAATTCTTGATTGTTTCTACCTTATGATTTATTCACAATAGATTTTCACTATTTGTTATTTAATCAGTTAACTAACAGTATTGTTTATCCCTTATCAAGAATACATTGAACTTAATTACTAGTTTTACCATATTACCTTTAATAATTTATTATCTTTTCTTTTGATATTTATTAATTTCTTTTATTTTACTTAGGCTTGTTGTTCTATTCTAATTTATTAAGTGAGATATGCTTATTCTTATTTCTTTTGTTTATTGATAACAATTCCAAAACAATAAATTTATTTCTAAAAGCTGCTTGAACTATCGGTGGTAGTCAAATAATTTTTTCTGTATGAATAATGAGAGCTTGGTCCTAAAAGAAACAAGTCACTGGGGGCAGGTGGCTCACGCCTGTAATCCTAGCTACTCAGGAGGCTGAGATCTGAGGATCATGGTTCAAAGCCAGCCCGGGCAGGAAAGTCCATGAGACTCTTATCTCCAGTAAACCACTAGAAAACTGGAAGTGGCACTGTGGCTTAATTGGTAGAGTGCTAGCCTTGAGCTGAAGAGCACAGGGACAGTGCCCATGCCCAGAGTTCAAGCCCCATGACTGACAAAAAGAAAGCAAGGAAGCAGGAAGGAAGGAAGGAAGGAAGGAAGGAAGGAAGGAAGGAAGGAAGGAAGGAAGGAAGGAAGAAAGGAAGGAAGGAAGAAAGAGAGGGAGGGAGGGAGGGAGGGAGGGAAGGGAAAGAAGGAAGAAAGAAAGAAAGAAGGAAGGAAAGAAAGAACGAAACAAGTCTCCGAAACACTATTGATTTCCAGTGCCTTAAATGGTTTTTTTTCCTGAAATGTCTCATTTTCATGAGGCAATGTAATTCTAAAAATAATCAGGGAAACTAACCACACCACAGAAATCCTCAACATTTAAAATCAGTGCAAAGCCAGGGGTCAATAGCTCATGCCTATTATCCGAGTTACTCAAGAAGTTGAGATCTGAAAATTACGGTTCAAAGCCAGCCTAAGCAGAAAAGTCTGTGTGACTCTTATCTCTAATCAACCACCAAAGAGCCACCAAAGAGCTGTGGCTCAAGTTATAGAGTCCTGGCTTTGAGCATAATAGCCCACAGATAGCACCCAGGCCCTGAGTGGAAGCTCCAGAGACCCCCACCAAAAAAAAAAAAATCACTGTAGTACATGAACAAGGAAATGAAATAGGAAGTCCAGATAAAATCTTAAATAGGAATTGTGTTTATAATGAAAACAACTCATATTAATGCAGATAAGGTAAACATTTGGAAATCATCTAGAAAAAATAATAAAGCCAGACCTATATTCTTTACCAAACAAGTTATAAATGTAATCCTAGCTACTCAGGAGGCTGAAATCTGAGATTGTGGTTTGAAGCCAGCCTGGACAGGAAAGTTCAGGAGACTCTTACCTCCAATTAACCATCAAAAAGCCAGAAGTAGATCTGTGGTTCAAGTGATAGAGTACCAGTCTTAAGCAAAAAAGCAAAGGGACAGCACCCAGACTCCTAAATTCAAGCCACACACGCACATGCACACACACACACACACACACACACACACACACACAGTATGAATGGACCAAAGATATAAATGGATAAGAAACACCTGGGAGAGCCAGGCTCATGCCTGTAATCCTAGCTACTCAGGAGGCTAAGATCTGGGGACAGAGGTTCAAAGCCAGCCCAGGTAGGAAAGTCTGTGAGAGTCTTATCTCCAATTAACCACTAGAAAATCGGAAGTAGCATTGTGGCTCAAGTCCCATTTCCTTCATAGAACTACATAGATCTAGAGCTACACAGGTCCTATGATTTCTGAGGGAAGAATAAAGACTCTAATAGAAAACCATACATAGCATAAGAACAGTTTACAACAGGGGAATACAAGTATATCAAATGTGAGATGTGAAAAACACAACACCCCTAAACTAAGAGAAATTCAAATCAAATGCTCACAGAGATGAGATGACAGAGAAGGAGGCCCAAATGTTTCATATAAAACGCTGTCTAAAAGGTTGTGGGAAAACAAGCATCCATATATTTCTGATAGGGACTATAAGCTTGTATAAACCCCATGGGAGCATTTTAACATCTAAGAAAATTAGAAGTCTACATTCCTTCTGACACCAAGTCTCTCTAACTTTGCGGGGGTGGGGAGGGAGGAGATGTATGTACAAGTTATTGATGGCAGTATTATTTCAACAACAAAATAATGTATACTACTAAATTTAATTGGTTTTAGAAATTGTCCTGTATTCAGCCAGATGCCCATGGCTCATGCCTGTAATCCTAGCTAATCAGGAGGCTGAGATCTGAGGATTGTGGTTCAAAGCCAGCCAGGGCAGGATAGTTCATGAGACTCATCTCCAATAAACCACCAGAAAACCAGAAGTGGCACTGTGGCTCAAGTGGTAGATTGTTAGCCTTGAGCTGAAGAGCTGAGGGACAGTGCCCAGGCCCAGAGTTCAAACCCCACAACCGATTAAAAAAATTGCCCTTTATTCAAACTAAGGAATACTACTGAGGACAAAAAATGAACTGGGTGATACCTAGGTTTGAATTCAGAACCTCACATTGCTAGGCAAGCATCTTTACCACTTGAGACATACTCCCAGCCCTTTTGGCTTTAGTTTATTTTAAACTTGTACTTTTGTGAGAGATTAGCCTCAGACCATTATCCTCTTTCTTCTACTTCCTGAGTATCTGGGATTATAGGTGTGAGACACCACAACAGGTTTGTTTTTTAAGATAGGGTCTTATTTTTGCCTGGGCTGGACTTGAACACTGATGATCCTATCTCTGCCTCCTAGGTAGTTGGAAATAAAGGTGGTAGCTACTCTGTCACATGAAGATACTTTTGTGTATTGATGTGGAGATACTCTCAATGTATATCGAGTGAAAAAAATGTATAGAAGAGTATATTCAATATGCCACCACTTAGCTAAAGATAGTGACATAAAAATTTATATTTGCCAATGCAACAGTGATACTCACAAGACACTACGTTGGAAATGAATTTTACAACTTGATGGGTAGGGGAGTCTCAGGGAGGGATATTGATAGACAAACAAGAGAGGGTGTAACAATGTTTGACAAGAAATGTACTCATTACCTTACTTATGTAACTGTAACCCCTCTGTACATCATCTTTACAACAAAATAAAATTAAGTTTAAAAAATTAAAAAGAAAATATATTTTGCTTACTTCTGCATATATTAAACATATCAGAAAGGACACAAAATAAGCTAATGATGACTTTATGAGAAAAGTAATTTGTGGCTTGGGAACAAGGATTAAAAAAATTACAAAACCTTCTGATTTTTAGACCATATGAACATATTGACTCTTGAAATAGGAAACAAAATAAATACTAAGTTATTAGTGTAATGTATGTAATAATTTTGAATGTAAAGATAAAAATAGACAACTCAGTAGGCGAATATAAATTATCAAACTCTCCAGAAGACAATTAATTCAGTAGTCAAATCTACCTATTCTTTTGAATGTTGGTTTTGTTTTTTGTTGTTATTATTAATTTTTATTGTAAAGGCTATATACAGAGGGATTACAGTTACATAAGTCAAGTGATGAGTTAATTTCTTTTTGAGCAGTGTCACCTCTTCATTCTTCCCCCCAGTTTTAAGCCTACCTATTTTTATCAACAGTCTAGATTATTTACTAAAGAAATATACCAAAACCTTCCAGAAGCAAATGACTTCTATCCAATATCAACTATGCCAGAGATTGAAGAAAAGTGAGAATGCATGACCTTGGACTCATTCTATAATGCTAGTATAGTCTTTTAACTGTAATACGAGCTATTCAAGGGGTAGACACCTGAGGATCTTGATTCAAAGGCAGCCTGGGCAGAAAGGGTCTTATTTCTAGTTAAAAGTTATAAAACCAGAAGTGGAGGAGTGGTTTAAGAGTTAGAACATCACTAAGGGACAGTGATCAGGCCCTGAATTCAATCTTCAGGACCAGAATACACAAACAAAATAAAATTGACATACATAGATCTCCTTTATGATTGTCATTACTATTAATCATGTTAATGATTCTCCATGTTGAACAAACTGCTGGTCAGACGCCTACCTATATGATCACCCCTCCATCACCGGCAGCTGCGCCTTTGTCCCCCACCCTTTGGCCGTCCCTCCGCTAGGAAGTGCCCCCTCCCTGTGTTCTGAGCCATTATGAGTATTGCAGTTTTTGTTACAGAACTGATTCGCATTCGCATTTCTAGATTTCCTCAACATCCAACGACGCTGCATAATGACATAATGCCCTGCACCTAGCATCTACTTTTCACTCTGTAGTTCTCTGTATTTTCTGACAGTTGGAACTTTACAATGCAGCATTTTTGCTTTGGTTTGACCTACATGGGTTGTTTTGATCTGAGTTGCATATTTTGGCTGCTTGACTCACCATTTGGTTTCCAAAGAACAACGAAACTAAAGCACCATGTATTTTTTTTCTCTATTCCTGTTTTCAATGAGCCTAAGCTAAATTCACAAAGCTAGACTAAGCCGACATGAATTGCCTTTGATGCAAAGGTTATATGGCCAACTCAAATATGGCCTCTACTGGCAGAAAGCATGTCCGGATGAATGAAGGAGTCTCAATATGTTGGTGCAGAAATCATTTGGGAGCAAATGTATTTCTGAAATTATAAGTCAAAGACAAACATCATCTGATGAAAATATGTCCTTTTTTTTTTTTACAACTTATCAGAAAACATGTTCTACTTTAAAAGTAGAAAGAAAAAAAGAAACAATTCACCCTTAGTCTGTTAAAGTCTTTATTGTGTACCTTTCTCAGAACTTAAGGAAACTCTCACAGACTTACTCATGAATACATTGAATTACCTGTTGTCTCAGCAGATGTTCTGCCTGATTTCGGGTAATGTTTCTGTGGTACCATCTGTAAAAGCAACAGAAATGATGTTTTTCCAGGAAAAGAAAGCATACTGTCATATATATTTTAATGACCTTTCTTTAGACTTGATCTTAGAAAGTTATAACTTCTTACATCATGATAAATAAGTGTATGACAATGGATCCATTGAGCAGATTTAGTAATTGTCAATATAATTTTACTAATTTCAAGCCAATGCTAGCTCTTTCTTTCCTAACTCAATTCAATTTTCTGACATGCAATTACTAGCTACATATAATTTTAAATGAGTTAATGTCATATAAAATCCTACAAAGGTGATTAAGAAGACATTGTTGTATATATCCCCTGAAATGAATAATAGCAATCCCTCTGTACAACACCTTAATAATAACAATAAAATTATATTTTAAAAAATGAAACAGACACTGTCCCCAGGCACTAGTGGCTCACACCTATAAGTCTAGCTAAAGTCCAAGGACTGAGATTTGAAGCTAGCTGGGAAGAAAAGTCTATGAGACTCTTGCGTCCAATTAACCACCAAAAATCTGGAAGTGAAGATATAGCTCAACTGGTAAAGCTCTAACCTTGAATGAAAAAGCCAAACCAGAGTTCTAGGTCTTGAGTTCAAGCCCCAGTACCAGCAAAACAAAAAAAAAGGAAAGGAAAGAGAAAGAGAGAGAAAAAAAGAAAGAAGCAAAGAAAGAAAGATAGACAGACACAAAGACACAAAGAAGAATAGGAGAAAGAAAGAAAGAAGCAAAGAAAGAAAAACAGACAGACACAAGACACAAAGAAGAATAGGAGAAAGAAAGTAAAGAGAGAAGAAGAGAGGAATGGAGGAAGAGAGGGAGGGAAAGGGAAGGAAGAAAGGAAGGAAGGAAGGAAGGAAAGAAAGAAAGGAAGGAAGGAAGGAAGGAAGGAAGGAAAGAAAGAAAGAAAGGAAGGAAGGAAGGAAGGAAGGAAAGAAGGAAGGAGGGAGGAAGGGAAGGAGGGAGGAAGGAAGGAAGGAGGGAGGGAGGGAGGGAAAAAAGTAAGAGAGAGTAGAAGACATTGTCTTCAACAAATGTTGAGCTCTGGCCCATAAAGTTTTAAGACTAGCCATTTCTTTCCTCTCAGTATTTGTTTGCTTTTATGAGTGCTATTTCTCTTTCTGAAGTTAAAATTCACTCTAACATATCTGACTTTCCCAAATACATTACCTCCTAGTAACGGTAATAGTCCATTGATTGCATGACTGAATCATGACCTTAAATATCCTATGTCTCACCTAGCTTCCTTCCCTCACTAGACCATTGCCATGTGGGGATTATATATTAATATATATTTAAGTACTTAGATACCTAGACAACACTGATTATAAAACTAATATTAGGTGATATGAATACAGGAACTGAGGCATGGCTCCTATAGACATTAAAAAAAGAATCCATGTCTACCTTTGATTGAGATGAACCAATGTATGTAGTATATATTGTCCTGAATATTGTGCTGTATATATGGATACCTCAAGTCCAACACCTAATCTGAGGTTTCTGACTGATACGTGACGTAAGTATCATGTTCCTGATTTTTTTTTAGCCTAGAAACTCCATTAGCTCTTAAAAGTGGATCTGCTTCCATTAGTAATTGACTTTCTAACCCTGAGAGATAATAAGATAAATCAAACATACTTCTATAACTTTTGGATTATCGATATGCTTGGTATTTAAAAATCTATAATTTTAAGAGAATCTACTATACTAGATTTTGTCTCTGATTAATTTTAAACTTGGTTTTGAAGTTGGAGAAACTTAACTTTTAAATGATATTCAGCAATTAAGAGAATTTTTCCCACATTATAAATTTAATTTATTGGGGAGGGAAAAAGTGGGAGAGAGGGAGGGAAGGGGTAGCATTGTCCAAAAAGAAATATACTCATTACCTCACTTATGTAACTGTAACTCCTCTGTACATCATCCTTATAATAACAATAAAAATGTATTAGATCTTCAAGATCATTTTAAAGACTTATACGAGACTTTATTACAATTGTATATTTTCCCTGTCCAATATGTGAAGTACTTAAAAAGATAACCAAGGGCTGGGCAGGTGGCTCAGTGGTAGAGTGCTTGCCTTGCATGCATGAGACCCTGGGTTCAATTCCTCAGCACCACTAAACAGAAAAAGCCAGAAGTGGCACCGTGATTCAAGTGGTAGAGCACTAGCCTTGAGCTGAAGAGCTTAGGGACAGTGCCCAGACCCAGAGTTCAGGCCCCACAACTGGCAAAAAAAAAAAAAAAAGATAACCAACTGCATTCAGTTTACTAGTTTACTACTGCAAATCAAGTATTTTAGTAAATTCAACTAACTAAGCTAATAAGTATAATTATTTAAGGGGATTTTAGTAAGATGAGTTTGCTGGGCTTTTTTTTTCTATTTTCTTTTTTTATTTTATTGACAAGGTGACACACAGAGGAGCTACAATTACATAAGTCTGTTGGTGATTACATTTCTGTGTAACAGTAAGCTGAGTTTGAATTTATTCAGATTAGTACATATCAAAATTTAAATTTTGAGTTTGAGGACTTCCTGAGAACTCAGTTTTTACAATGTAATGCTGACCATTTGAAAAAAAAAAGTAGCCACAAGACTATGTACATAATTTCCCAGAGACATCAGAAGTGCACACTGAGGCAGAATTTTCTTCCCAGCCCCTTCCAAACTGCCTCTCACCATCTTTACTTTTTTATTTTATTGTAGTGTAAAGATGCTATACAGAGGGGTTACCGTCACATGAGTAAGGTAATGAGTACATTACTTGTCGATCATTCTTACCCACTAACCCTTCCCTCCCCCACCTCTCTCATTCCTCCCCACCCTACCCCCTCCACCCCACATCCCACCTGAAGTTGTAAAGTTGGTTTCCAATATACTGTCCAGTGGATATCCTTGTTGCAATGGGTCATCCTGTGACCTTGTTTCAGCATTTTGTTGTTCCCCTTCCCCTCCCCAGATCAGACAAATGTATATACAAGATGCAGCTACCAAAATCAAGTACAGTGACAACAGGGGATATGCCATAGGGAGAAGAATATACAAAGGAAACAACAACAAAAAATCACATAGTACATTTAAAACAATAAAGACAGACTTCTTGTGTCCATATCTTGAGATTCATTTCACTTAGCATCATCTTGTATGGATATATATGTACATAGCTTTTGAGCTTTTCAGCTCCTCTGATAAGATTATCCTATCTGTATACTAATTATTGCAAATAAGGAAAACTATGGGGCCTAAATTTCTTTGGGACTGGCTTATTTTACTTAATATGATTTTTTCCAAGTCTTTCCATTTCCTAACAAATGGAGCGCTGTTGTTCTTTCTGATGGAAGCACAGAATTCCATTGTATACATCTACCACATTTTCTTGATCCACTCATCTACTGAGGGGCATATCCCATGTCACTTCTTCAGAAAGCTCTTCCCTCACACTACTCCATCCACATCACTGCCCCTATGAAACTAAATTCACTACAGGCAGGAAAGGTTCTGTGCACCTGAGACTCTATCTCTAGTACTAACACCTGGTAGATGGAACAAATCAAATGGTGCTCCCCCTTCTTCTGAATCTGTGATTGTAACCCAGATAATCACACTTTGATTCAGGTGCTAAAGATCTTCTGAACTACAGAACTAGCCTACATCTTATCTTCAGCTATTTCTAAACATATCAAAACATGAGCCAAAACAGGAGTTGGTCTATATAGTAATCCAATTTACTACTCCTTGAAAATTCTTCCATTCTTAAAGTAAAATTTTCTATTTAGGATATCAAGTAAAACAAGCACCAGATGACTGCTTAGCTTCAGCCTGTTACTGTTTTTTCAAAAGTGGCCATGCAAGACAAATCAACAATAAGTTTAAGGTGTTTCTGAATCTGTGGTGATAAAGATCAGAGGTGACTAAAGCTGCCAAATGTGCTACTTTCTTTTCCTTTCACAGACCAAAACTAAACCAGAAGCTTCCTGATTTTTCACAGGTTAAACATAGGGCATTTTTGAAAGACTTACTCATATATTTCTAAATTGGTGAGTTTGTTCTCAGTCACATAGTTACTTGGGATCAAACCTTCATTCCTACAACAAAAAAACAAATCAAACAAATGACGTATTTGTGATATGGTAACAATAGTTCTTTTAAAGCCTTGAAGATGGCTGAGCACTTATAATCCTAGCTGCTTAGGAGGCTGAGATTGGGAGGAAGTTCATGAGCTTCCCATCTCCAGCTTAAGAAATAAGAGGCTGCACATGAAAAATAAATAAGGTCAAAAATAAGATTTAATTTGAAAAAGAAAAGAAGCAGAGCATGGTGGTACATGTCTCTTATTTCAGTTACATAGAAAGCACAAATAGATAGATTATGATCCAGGCCAGCCTGGAAAATAAACAAGACCTGACTCAAAAATTGATATAAGCCAAAAGGGCTAAGGATATAGCTCAAGTGGTCTAACACTGGTCCAGTAAGCACACGTCTCAAGTTTAAGCCCTTGTGCCATCAAGAGATAAAAAATAAAACAGCCAAGCACTAATGGCTCATGCCTCTAATCCTAGCTACTCCAGCAGCTGAGATCTAAGGATTGAGCTCTGTAGCCAGCCCGGGCAGGAAAGTCCCATGAGACTATCTCCAATGAACTACCTGAATCAGCCACAAGTAGAAGTGTGGCTTAAATGATAGAGTGCTAGCCTTGAGCAAAAAATCTAAAGGACATAGCTCAGGCCCAGAGTTCAAGCCCCAGGACCATCATTAAAAAAAAAAAGCCACCAATGATATAGGAAGAGGTCAAATTATTAAAAGAAGAAAAAAATCCATTTCTAACTCAACAACAACAACAAAAATCTCTATACAATAAATATTTTCTTTAAAATCCTGATTTATGGGGGCTCACACCTATAATTCTAGCTACTCAGGAGACTAAGATCTGAGGATCATGGTGTGAAGCCAGCCAGGTCAGGGAAGTCTATGAGACTCAATTAACAAGAAACAAAGCCAGAAACGGTGCTATGGCTCAAATGGTACAAAGGTTTGAGCAATAAAGCTGAGTTTTAGTCCCCCATCCCACATACATAAGACTAATCCAAAATGAAAAAACAACGAATCTATTGCAATACAATTTACACTTGTACCTTAGAGCTCAACAGAAGAGAGAGAGAAGAGATAGAGGGAGAGTAATTCCTAAGTTAAAAAAAGCCCAAATAAGAATTAAAACTTTATGATAAGAAATGCTATTCCCATTTTACAACTGAATAAAAACTCCGAATGGGGTAAGTGACTTGCCAAAAGCTACACACAGACAAGTGGTAGCATCTGTGTGTATCTGGGTTTGTGCTTCTGCCTAACTCATTGCACTTGAATATCCTTTTCTTATAGATGGAGGTGTGGAGGACAGGTTGGGAGGACAGAACTCCATGCAGAGGATAGATTGATAAACCTAGAGACAGTGAGTCACTAAACCATTTCTTCTTTGTATTTTTAGTCTTTAGAAGTTAAAGGAGGAGAAACTGGATAACAACTCAGCCCTACATCTTACCCGCAACAGTCTCTAGCTTTCCACCAGTGAGGATCATACTTCTCCAATACCAGGTATTCCTCTGCTCTCTTCAGTGCCAAATTACAGGGTTCTCGGGGCAAAAAATCATAAAGTGCCTTGACCCAGATCTTCTCCTTAGTGAGCTCGGAGGGTGGGAGGGGAGGCAAGGGTTTGCGTTGAGATGGTTGCACACAGTCCCTACTGCACTGCAAAAACCAAAGGGTGAGTTCTTCTGTTATTGTTTCAGTCATTTGTACCAAAAAAAAAATAGGTTAGGGATTGAGCATGCTCAATCTGACTCTACCGAACATAGGAATACATGTAAGAAATGCTTAGCTATATGAAACAGCATTGCATTAGAAGTTTGCATGTCCCAATTTTTCAAAGCCCATTCATTCTGCAAGTGTTTGCTTTGCTTTAAGGATTCTTTTCTTTCTAATAAAGAAAATGGAAGCCAGGCGCATGTGGCTCATACCTATAATCTTAGCTACTCAGGAGGCTGAGGTCTAAGGATCAATGTTCAAAGCCAGCACAGGCAGGAAAGTTCATGAGATTCTTATCTCCAATAAACCAACAGAAAACTGGAAGTGTCCCTGTGGCTCAAGCAGTAGAGTGCTCGCCTTGAGTTGAAGAGCTAAGGGACAGCGTCCAAACCCAGAGTTCAAGCCCCACGACCGACAAAAATAAATAAATAAATAAATAAAAATTTTTAAAAAAGGAAAATGGAGCCAGGTGCCACAGTGGCTTCCACCTGTAACCGTGCTACTGAAGAGGCTGCGATCTGAGGATCACAGTTTGAAGTCAGCCTTGGCTAAAAAAGTCCAGGAGACGCTTATCTCTGATTAATCACCAAAAAGCCAAGTGGAACTGTAGTTCACTAGGTTGAATGCTAGCCTTGAGCTAAACAGCTCAAGGACCATGGCCAAGCCTTGAGGAAGCCCAGGGCTGGCATAAATAATAATAAAATAGAAAAATGGTCCTCCCTTTTCCTGTGCTATAAGTCTGTGCTTGGGTTTACCACCCTTCTTAGGACAAGTTGCCTTCCAATTCTGAACTAGAATTTAATCCATACTCAATAAGGGTAGAAGGCAGATATATTTTCCCCCATTTATTGTCTGGTTTCAAGCTTTCTCTTTAAAAGTGAGTGGGCTGTGTTGACTGATTTGTCTTGAAAATGTTCCTTCACAATCTATTGCTCACTCACTATTTGTCCTGCAGGATACTAGGCTCTGGGCATGGCCACAGCAGACTTCATGCTGTGGACTCCCCTGTCAGCAATACTCACTTGCTTCTTACTTGACAGTCCGCCACACCACCATCTGCGAGGTGGAGTGTATTTTTCTGAAAGTTCTTCATCTTTGCTCAGGCTGATTTGTGTTCTCACTCGCCTGACATTAGAAGTAATCACATTACAAATGATTATACTCACATGCCTACTCAATTCACACTAAAATAGAGATATCCAGGTATCTTGCTACTTGCTTTTGTATTTAGAAGGCTTCCTTAACTCTCTCTACTAACAAATGACCAGATCTCAGAATTTGATTTTTCTTTCCCAGGAACTAGAGATGCTAAGAGCATATGAGTTGTTATAAAATTGAGACAGCGCGTCATATGTTTATAAAGAATCTGGCATATATTGGGGATATTAGGTAAAAATGATGCTAAAGAAAAACTTCACTTCATATCAGGCAAATTGCTCATCGTTTTATATACATTACCTCATTTGATGCTATCAACTGTTACAAATAGATAAGATGGTGATTAAGATTGATCCCTAACTCCATCATTTCTTTTTTTTTTTATTGTGAAAATACCATACAGAGGGGTTACAATTACATGGGTAAGATAATGAATACATTTCTTATCAAGCATTGTTGCCTCCTCCTTTGTTTCCCCTTCCCATCCTTTCCCATCTTCCCCCCCTCCACCCCCCCAAAGTTGTAAAGTTTGTTTTTCAACATAATGACTTGTACATCTCATTGTTGCAGGAGTTCCACCTGCATCCTTATTTAAACAATTTGTGTTTTCTGTTCCCCTCCCCAAATTATACCAACATCAAATACAGTGAAAGCAGGGGTTATACCGTGGGGGAGGGACATACAAAGCAACAAAGGAATCATCTTATAAATATGTTAGAAACAATCGCATGAAAGAAAAAACATTTGAATACATATCTTAGGGTTCATTTCACCTAACATCAACTTAGCTGACCTTTTCTGCTTGAACTACTTGTAGAAAACTAAAGCTAGATCCTTATATATATCATTCATCATTTCTTAGTTGGCCTTGAGAAAGCAATGTAACCTCTTTAACTTTAGATTTTCTCATCTATAAAGTGAGAGTTATAAAAAGAAAAGGCTGCAGATGATCGTGAGAGCCATGCGAATGACTAAACATAAAATTCTTAGCATTGTGTCTAACATGTAGGATGCTCCTATTCAATGCTAGCTGTTAACCATTCACATGGTATCCCGGATTTTATTCTTACACATTTATTGGGCACAAAGTATAAGATGAATCCATAGTTTTGTCAATGCTCAGATAACCAAGACAGTACTATTTTGCTCATAGGACAAAAAAATCACAGAGTATAACTCAGACAAATAAACAATAAGAACCGAGGCATAGGGTGTGAGGACACATGAAGAAAGGAAGAGGGAAGGCTCGGGATCACCTGACATTTGGATGAACTGGGTTTTTTTTAGCAAGGAGAAAATGGGAGAAGGGTTACCAGGCAGAGAGAGCAGAAGATACAAAGAGACATAGACTTTCAATACAGAATTTGTGAATCAGTTCATGGCGGAGGGGATTTGCCCTCGGAAGTAGACTTACCTCTTCCGTACTGTGTAGCAACAGCAACAGCAGAAAATGGACTGAACGGTGTTATCTGAAAAGCAAATCATTGCTGCTGTTAGATTATTGTTGCTATTAGAGAGCCACAAGTCCCTGACATTGGACAGATGAAGCTGGAAGTAATATTCCAAAAGAGGAAGTCCTCAGAGTAGAGCATACGAAGTGTCATGAGCATATGAGCAGCATGACCATGCCCCCTGCATGAGTGGAAGATAAAAAAAAAAAAAAGAACCTGTCACTAAAACAAAAGTTACTGGCACCCTGGCCAGTGTGGTTTCCCTTCTCAGGCTCTCCTCTTCTAGTCTGGTTAATACATTTCCTCAGTCTGCAGATGATAAAATGACCTTAACAAAGGTACAGAAGAATAGGATTCTAGAAACAATGTTCTCTCAGAAAATTGGCTAAAAGCAATTCTAAAAATTAGATCCAGCCCATTGTAACTTAAATTAAAATGGGCTGAGGGGTTGGGGTGGCTCATGTAATAGCATGTGTGCCTAGAAAGTGCAAGACTCAAGCCAGGTGCTCATGGCTCATGCTTGTAATCCTAGCTACTTGGGAGGCTGAGATCTGAGGATCGTGGTTCAAAGCCAGCCCGGGTAGAGAAGTCTGTGGGACTCTTATCTCCAAATAACCACCAGAAAACCAGAAGTGGTGCTGTGGCTCAAGTGGTAGAATGCTAGCCTTGAGCTCAAGAGCTAAGGGACAGAGCCCAGGTCCAGAGTTTAAGCCCCACAGCCGAAGAAAGAAAGAAAAGAAAGACAGGAAGGAAAGGAAGGAAGGAAAGAAGGAAGGAAGGAAGGAAGGAAGGGGAGAGAGCGAGAGAAAGAAAGAAAGAAAAAGAAAGAAAGAAAGAAGAAGAAAAAGAAAAAAGAAAGAAAGGAAGGAAGGAAGACAGACAGGAAGGGAAGGAAGGAAGGAAGAAAGGAAGAAAGAAAGAAAAGAAAGAGAAAATGCAAGACTCTAAGTGCAAATCCTAGTACCACAAAGAGAAAGAAAATAAATAGTAGACTCAACTTTTATATGAATTATGTTTGAATAGGTATAGAACTAGCTAGTAAAGTTTATTCTTCAACTTTTATTGTAACCTTAATCTTTAAGTTAGATGATTTGCCTTTTAAACACTATAGAAGTTTTGAATTTTTTTAAGTATGTGGTTTTATAAAACCTGTATTTCCCAGTCATCTCATATTGAGATTGTCACCTGAAAATAAAATATTACCAAGGCAGCAAAGTACATTGGAAATGGACAGAAGCTTTAACCTTGGCCAGACTTTGGTTGCACTCCTGCTTTATCCTGCTAAGTCCCTGTACCTCTCTTAAGTCTTAGTTTACCTACCTGTAAAAGTGAGATAAATAATACCTACATCCTTTGAGAACCCTTACCAGGCAGAAATTCATCTCTTACTTTAAGACACTGGGAGAACAGTAGCAATAGGCAACTATGTGCTTTGATATGGACTAGGAAGCAATGTGTGTGACACAGCTCGTACAATGCCAGATATACAGTGAAATGGTAACCAAGACGTATTGGAAGAGGATTCCTGTGAAGAACAAATGAGTATCGTCTCTAAAATTCCTGGAACACTGAAGGAAGTGCTCAGTAGGCATACACAAGCTGGGACGAGTCAGAAAGCCTTCATTATAAAAGCTAGAAATTATAGCAATGTCGGCAGTTATAATAAAGCTCCCCCACTCTTACCCTGTACCTGAGTAAAATCATCGTGGCCCATCAGAACTACCATATCATCGTCACAAAGGGATGTCAGTCTGGCCAAACTTCCCCTTAAAACCGAATACATTAGTCACTATCAAGGTTCCATAAGGAAGACAGAGGAAGAAGTAACAAAACCACGGCTACAATTCTCTATGACCTCTATAGGGGTCAAGTCCTATGCTGGAAATCATGCATGCTTTTTCCATTATTCATTCCATGACCCTCCCTTGCCTCTGCTAAACACTTTGGCTGAATGAAGTGCTTCATCTGGTAGAAGATTCTAAATATTCATTCCTGTGGAGATTTGGAGGAGGGGTATTCCCATGACTTAATATTCTTAGAAATACGAAGAAATGTAGCCAGTCACCAGGGGCTCACTAATAGCTAGTAATCCTAGCTAGACAGGAGGTTAAGATCTGAGGATTGCAGTTCAAAGCTAGCCCCAGCAGGAAAGACTCTCATCTCCAATTACCAACCAGAAAACTGGAAATGGAGCTGTGACTCGAAGTGGTAGAGTGCTAGCCTTGAGCAAAAAAGCTTAGAGACAGGGCCCAGGGCCTGAATTCAAGCCCCATAGACTGATGGAAAGAAAGAGAGAGAGAGAGAAAGAAAGAAAGAAAGAGAGAGAGAAAGAAAGAAAGAAAGAAAGAAAGAAAGAAAGAAAGAAAGAAAGAAAGAAAGAAAGAGGGGGAAGGAAGGAAGGAAGGAAGGAAAAGGAAAGAAGGGAAGAAAGAAAAGGAAGGAAAGAAAAAAAGGCAGGCAGACTAAGAAACGTAGCTAGTGCATTCCTTGAGTTTTCAACATCTCCTCTCCTCCATGCAAGGCACCAACTCAGTTGTCTGCTGGTAGTCAGGTATTCAACACAGCAATACTTAATCTCTTCCTCAATGTCTAGCCATTGACTAGGCATTCTCAACTTCCAACAGCCCCCAATGAAAGAATTCTTTTCTTGGGCCACAGCATCTCTAATCAACTAAAATCATAGTTTTATTGGCGCTCTTCTATGCCCTGGAATTTTGAAGCAAAACATTTAAAAGGTACTTATTTTTCCTGATTCAATAGCAAAGAAATGACCCTTAAAAGTACAGACCTACATCATCATTGCCTTAATTATGGGAAGGTTTTGTTCTCTTTTCACTGAAGACCAAGAACAGCCATCAATAGATCATTTCTGGCCGTTTCCAGTTCACAGCGCCTCAGATCTTCCAAGGGAGTCAATTGGAAAGTTCTCTCCACATGTGTACTGTGATGACAGAAATCATCCTTTAAATCCCACAGAGAGAAAGCTCTTGCCCTTTTAGAAATCCCCAATTTAGACAGGAACTCATTCCTATCAAGAGCCTGAGCCAGAGAGAGATGAAATGGCCCCAGAGAGGAGCCGTGACTGCTTGCTTGCTGAAAGGATGTATGGGTGGGAAATAGTCACAGTTGAGAATTACTACTGAAGGTGCTGGCGGTTTCTACCACTGGTGTGTTTAGAATATTCCTTTCATCTACTTCTAATTCCTCAGCAAATATTCATAATGATAGCATGTGTGCCAGCAAATCAGAAAAAGGGCAGGCGTAATCTCTGAGAGCTTTTGGAATGGCCACATGACTCCTGAGTTAGGAGCTTGAACCTGTTCTTCATTTGAAACTTGTTATCTTTCGGTGACTTCCTCTCCTCCAGACTGAGTGCCTTGTTGGAGTTTCTTCCTTCCCTAGAGGTTTATGAATGATGATAATAGGGCTCTGATCCAGGACAGGCTTCCACCAGGGGACACAGGAAGGGAGCAAATATGAGAAGCCCAGCACTTAAGGTCACCTGGAAGCTGGTGACAAACTCAGAGATGTAAAACCTTAGGCCTGGCGGCCTGGGACTCAGACGCTGTTGCCACCTCATTTCTCAGGTCTTGAGCTCCATACTAGTATCACCTTGAATTCAACCCTTGGCATTTCCGATAGCAGGATTTCATTTTGAATCAGTGCCTCAAGTGAGAGCCATTTCTTCTGAATGTCGTTGTTATCATGTCCAGCAGATAGCTGCTGGTTTTCTTTAAAAACATGATGTGAAAAACAAACTTTACAACTTTGGCTGGGGGGTGGGGGGGTGGGGAGGAGATGGGAAGGGATGGGAAGGGGAAACAGGAGGAGGCAACAATGCTTGATAAAAAATGTACTCGTTACCTTGCCCATGTAATTGTAACCCCTCTGTATGGTATTTTCACAATAAATTTTTTAAAAAGAAAGGAAAAAAAAAACATGACTTGAAACTGGCTCTGTTTCAGTGGCAGTCTTTGCCAAGGCCAGGGTTGGCACATTCCAAGTTGTGGTTTTGACACGAGACCTCTGGTGCCACAGGCTTGGCCAATACCTCTCCAGCCTGTGGTTTTGGGAACATGTCTCAGAGAAGGAGAGCTCATCTTGTACCCACACTGCCCGCTGTGGCTTCTCTTTTTCCAGAAGTTTAAAGAAAAGTTATATTTCCTTATTTCTGTGCCACAAAAGTCCACCATGAGGTCCATGTCCTAAAGCTATTTAAAAACAGGTGCATTTTAATTCAGCAAACTCAGATGATGTGGGAGATGTAACACAGCTAGCTTTTCTGACATGGAGTTGAATGGTGAATTTTTTTATGGAAATGTTTATTCAGTTTATAAAGCTATTCTTTATGCTAAGTTTATGCCTTTTGTACATTTAAGCTGTTAGATCATTCTCTGTGTGTAAGTGGGGGGGGGGATAGGTGTCCTTATCTTTTTGATACTAAGATGCCCATTCTTCTAAGAAATGATAGCCATCAGAAACATGAAAATTTATGTAGATTGACAAAAATAACTGAGCAACCCTGTGTTAGTCTCCAGTTTTTTGCTTATTTCATTTTTTTGACAGTAGAGTATGAAACCTGAAAGCTGGGAAAATAGTATCACAATGGCCACTGGCAATGAGGAAGGAAGAGGTACCTAGCTAACAGGACAGGATAAAAGGAAAGAATGGGTAAAAGTTTAGAATGGTGCTAGATTGGAGGCATGGTTTAAGTGGTAGAGCACCAACTGCAAGCAAAAAAAAAATCCAAACAAGAGCATGAGTCCCTGAGTTCAAGCCCAGTGCTGGCACAAAAATAGAAGATTGGTGCTTGATGTTTAGCATCTGATGGGCTGAGAATCTGGGAGAAAGGATGCAAAGAAGTCTCTAGACTTCTTTAGACATGCTATACACCACATTAAAAGATGAAATGGACACTATGAGAACTGATCTCAGAACCATAAAAGGTTCAATTTCCACCGTGCAAACCACAGTGGAATCCACAAGTAATAGAATAAGTGAAATGGAAAATAGAATTTCAGAAGTCGAGGATAAAACAGGAGCTAAAACAAAAAGTCAAAAGT